TAGGATTTCTAGTCGAGCAAGGAAACTAAAGTCGAGTTCCAGTCAAACAAAGCTTTGAGGCGGTGAAGACAAGACTTTGAGGAGTTTCTGATCTATAAATAGGGCATTATTTTCAACATAAAAATTTGCGCACTCACATAGAAAGAAAATCAAAACACGATCAAAGAGGTTGAGAGAGTTTTGTACCTTACTTTGGGGAGTGCTGCCAGTTTCAGATAAAAAATTGTAAGATTGTGGTTAAGAGTTTTGATTACAATTGAGGTTTGAGTGTAGGATACATCTAACAAGTTTAAGAAAATTGAAAGATGTTAGAAGACCAAAACCTGGGTTTTTTGTGTCTTGGGTAGTTAGGAATTAGAGTTTATTATTCCGTAAATTACATATTTGTGTAATTGTTGTGTTGTTTGAAGTTGAGATAAATAATACAAAGTTGCGAACCAATTATTAGTTTACGAAGTTATTTACTACAACTTGCAAACAGTAAAGAACAAGTATTTAGTACGTGTTCCTTTACAGAATTTAGGAGGTAAGAATTCCAACACTACATAGTGGTGTTTGATCAACTGATTTTGTTATATGGGATTGAGTGTTGACCAGTAAAGAACTCTGAAGTCTTGAAGATGCATGTTGCGGAGATGTGCATATTGAGATGGATGTGTGGCCATACTAAGAATGATAAGATTACCAATGAAAATATATGAAAGAAGGTGGGAGTCACCTCCTACTATTTTTTTAGAGAGTGTCAACCATATCCCTTTGTCTCTACCTTTAAATCTCTCTTTACACAACATAAGCTTATATTTTGACTTACCTATTTGATGATTGAAGCATTTGTTGCACAAATTATTTTCGAAAAAAATTAATTACGTCGTTTAACTTGATTTCACTTGTGATTAGTAGTTGAGGCTAGTAATATAGCATTTGACAATAAGAAACTAGTTTTGGATGTTGACAACATTAATTAGTACTTTGTTGTAACAAGAATCAAAATTGATATGCACTAAAGAACAATACTTATCTTTCTTTAATACAACAAACTATCCTTAATTGGATAATCACTACAAAAAAATACCTAAATTGTGGGGGTGTCAAAACGGAGGTTAGCAGCAACCCTCACAAATTACATTAAATAACAGGGGTTTGGTAGCTAACGCAAAATAAAAGTAAACATCGGGGATTTAAAACCCCCCAAAAAAATTTAAGTAAATACCAGGGGTTTAAACACCTGCTATCTCAAAATACAATTTTTATTTCAAAATATAAAATATATATTTTTAATTCATGAAATAAAAAACACTCACAGCTTTTGGAATTAGGTAATTTAATAAATAGCTATTTTTAATTTAATTCCAAAATACAAAATAGACACAGCTTTTGGAAACTTCACTCCTTCCAAATTACTCTGTCACTGTCACTCTTCTCTCACCGCCACACTTCTCTACATCGGCACTTCTCCGCCGTCTACAACGGCACTTCTCCGCCGTCTACAACAACACTTCTCTACAGCGGCACGTCTCCTCACAACTCTGTAAACTTCAGCTACTCACCAGATTCAAAATGGGATAGGTGTTCTAAGATAATGTTTTCCACTTCTAACTTCTTTGAATAATGAACGTACCTCACATTTTTGAATTTTCTCATCTGAATCTTTACAAATTGTACAAATTACTGGTTGTAGTTACTAGATAAGTTTGGTTTTTGGTTGTTTGTATAGATGCATGGAGGTAGAATTAGGTTAATTTTGTTGTATTCTTCATGGATGAAAAATTTGAAATATCAAATTTGAGCATGTATTTTGTGGTAGAATTAGGTTTATTTTATTATAATTTGGGTGATTCTACAGATTTTTCGAGACATTCTGTGCCTACAGATTTTTTGGGGCCACTTTGTCTCAAATGGTGTTGCTAACAGGTGCCTTGTTTGTTCGTAAAATTTGGAGTTGTCGTCTCCGTCGATCCTTGTTTATGCTGGAGTAAGGTGTTTATAGTTTCCCCTTTTGTTTGTTAATTAATTCTTCTTTAGTTGTTACATGTGCCATCAATCTTCACTTATCTCTGTATACTTGTATTCATACATTATATTCTTATCGATTTGTATCTTCATTTTTTTCTTCTAAATCACTAATTTATCATTCTTCTAAATCTACATGTCTTTGCTTATTTGTTGTATCTCTTCAATCCAATTGACATTCCATGGTAGTTTGCATTTATCCACAAGTATTCTTTGTAAAATATTGAATATGGCTGGATTATGATATGATCCAAATATTTGTTATTACAATGCTTGATAGCTTCTAGGATAGCCAGTGTCTCAGATATTTTTTTCCTTACCATACCTGTAATTCTGGCCAGGAGCAAGCATAGCTAAAGGGTCATAAACAGACTTCCTCTGTACAAAAACATCCCATTTTTTATCAAAGTGTGTCCTCCATTGTTCCTGTATTGTTTTATATAAACAAATGTATAATCTTATAGAAAATGTTCCTTTGTTTAATTTATCAGGTCCGACCCCTCTCCAATATTTGAAATTGGAATTAACGGGAGAGCTTCTAGATCTTCAGGGATAAATAAAGTTGAGGTACTCTTTCATTTGCTTAGATCACTATAATTTCTCAGTGGTTAGGCCTCTAAGGAAAGAGTTGAGGCCTCAAGTTCATCTGATGCTTATGCTTAAAGTCAATGACAGTAGTGAATGTTCTTGTGTATATCAACTTCCTGCTATGTCCATTATGTTATAGTTTTTGGCATGAAAATAGAGAACATTATGACCGAAAATAGATCGATCAGCTTGAAATGGAAACTAACTAGATGAAAGATTGTACTATTACTTACCCTCTTCTGCATATATTCCATTTCTGCATATACTGGTACATACATTGTTAAATATGTCTCTACTCTTATAATTGTCTCATGTCAATCTTATAAGTGATATTGTCTGCTAATCTTGTTTTGCAACAAGTGACAAATATTGATGTTACATTTGGAAGACAAGCAAAGTTGAATGATAAAAGAAAAAGAAAAAGAAAAAAAAAAATAGACAAAGTAGTGTGGGTGAAGGTTCAACTCAACAGTGGAAGAAAAAAAACATATTCTTCAATCTTCCTTATTGGGAATCCAACTTGTTGCATCATAATTTAGATGTAATGCATATTGAGAAAAATGTTTTTGACAATATTATATACACTTTCAAACACAGCTTACATTGTCAGTTCAACCCAATGCACAACCAACCACATCATAGTCGATTTCGTCAGTTCAGGCAAAAAGACAGATGACTTTCTCAGTTCAGGCAACATCACAGCCGGTTCAGTCAACTCAGGCCGCATCACAATCAATTTCCTCAAATCAGGCTGCATCACATTCGACTTCATCAAGTCAGGCTGAATCACAATCGAAACCATTCAAGAAGCGTGTTGTTAGACGTGAGTCTACGGAGTATTGGACCATAGAAGCAATAGGTAAACTTTACACTTCTGTTTTCTTTTTCATCATTTTTTTGTTCTTTTTCTTCTCTATTTTTCTTCTTTTTCTTCTTCTTGTTGGAGAGGCTAGCAATTTTTCTGACAAATGGAAGAGTGTCAAAAGATGTTCTCCAGTTATTCAGAAAATGATACAAAGTGGCTTCTTTGAACAAGATCTTTGTAAGTATATTGAAGGCTACCAACTGGCTTTGTTGTCATTTCATTTCTTTTTCTCTATTCCAGATTCAGAAGGAAGCAAAAAGAAACTCAAAGTGAAAGTCAAAAAAGTGCTAAATTTACCTGGAGAAGATCGTATTATGGTCAATTTTGATTACCTGGATTGTCCATTTGGAGAAGCACAATCCCTTCTTTCTGGTTTTTGTGGAATTTTAGCTGTTGATTCCTCCTTATTTTCAATGCATTTCGACAAATGGCCGAATATTGGTATAAACTCTATATTCTGACTACTATACCTATATTCTTTTCTTGGACCTTTATATTTGGATTTCATAGATAAGCTAACTAGTGTTTATTCTTGAAGCCCCGATTTTTTTCGAGGAAGTGTTCAGTGATCCACTTAAGAGCAAAACTCAGATCATGGATAATGTTTCACCTGGAATTCCAAGAGATCAATGGACTTCTTATGTTAATTATCGTTATAAAAAAGAAACACAGGTATATGTATTTAATTATTTCAACTAGTATGTGTAGTCATATAATTACTTTTGAATGATTGAATTTCATGTATCTTTTTTGTAAGGAAATGTGCAACAGAAATGTTGAAAATCGAACGAAACAAATCATTCCACACACAGGTGGATCCAAAGCTAGCTCTAGAAGAAGGGCTGAAATGGTTAAAGATTTTAGTTCATTTCATTTTATTTTAGTTATTAAGCTAACTGTAATTATTTTTAATTAGTTAAGTTATTCTGAGTTGATTCTTTTGCTTATAGATGGCTGAGACCGATCAAGTGCCTGGACGAGCAGAACTTTATCTTGCTACTCATAGGAATGTAAATGGAGCATATGTTAATAAAGAGGCAAAAGTTGTTTGTGTAAGTTTCTTAAGGGGGAAATAATAGCACTCAATTTCCTTGGTTGTTTCAAGTTTGTCCCTTTTCTACTAACAAGTTAAGCCAAGCAGTTTATGTTTAGTCTCTCATTTATTTTAAACCTGAGATTCTCTGTTAATGTTTTCGTCATTGCTATTGGTCAAATCAGTTTGATGGTGGCTTGTTTAGTATAGCGTGTTGTCATTTTTGAAATGGTTTAAAATCCCTGCTTGAGTAAATGGTTTAAAATTATGCCTAACTACTAATCTCTCACTTTGATTGAATATGTGCATGTACTTTGCTTAAATATGTGAATGGCTAATCCAGGAAAATATATTATGTGAATGCCAAACTCAGGAGTATGTGAATACCTAACTCAGGAATATGTGAATGCACTTTGCTTATATTTAGGTGATATATCTATGTTCTCAATTACTTTTTAACATTTCGATAATGTGTTCTGTGTGTGTACTATACTCAGGAAAAAATCAGCAAACTTTGAGTCAAAGCACTATGGATGAGTCTATAATATCGCCAGATAATGCAATTGGTAAAGTGCTAGGAAAAGAGCACTCTGGAAGGGTAAGGTGTTTGGGATTAGGAGTTGTTCCCACTAAAGTTTTAAACAAGCAAGACCTCGATTCAACGGTATGAATGCTTCGAGTGTTTCATGTCCATCCAATTGCCAACAGAATTACAATAAATTGTTGAATTGTCACAATCAAATGATGGCCGCTTTCAAGTCATATATGATAATGAAAGAAGGGACATTACCAGAACAATTTGTGGGGTTATTTGCTCCTCCTCCTACAATGGTAAATATAATATTTACATTCTCTCTTCCTAAATGACCTTATTTATATATCAGGTATGTTAGTTTAGTTGCAGCCATTTTCTGGATCCACTGTGTTTTCTAGTGACATATCTACTGAGATTAGCTTCTTTATTTCTGGGAAAGTTTTATGGGCAAGGCAGTACTCTGGTCTAGAACATATTTTTGCATATTCTATTAGTATTGAGCTATTTGTTTATGATTGGCATTGCCTTTCATAGTAGAGAATGTAAGTTATAAAATGAGAAAGAAAATGTGGTTAAAATTGAAGAAGGTCAAGTTCACTAAAAATTTCCAGGATTGCTTCTGGAGCTTAGAATGTTGAGTGTTGTTTGGTCTGGATTAGAAAAAAAGAATGTGGAAATATGAGTATTTATCTATAGAACTTTGTGGAGTGTTGTTTGGTCTGGATTAATACAAGTGCAAGATAAAAACATGTGATTCTTTTACTATTATGTGCAATAAAGAAGTAGCAAGGTCCAGAACATATTTTTGCATATTCTTGTATGTTAGTATTGACCTATTTGTTTATGATTGGCATTTGTATTGACACTCATAGTAGAGAATTTAGTATTTGTTTACATATTGTATGTCGTTGACATACAATATGTAAGTATTTTTTTTATAAATCACCATAATGGTTGGATTAGGTTTCAGTCCTAATCATTTTATTGCATTCAAAAGAGATTACAAAGGAAGGTGAGAGCATTTATCATGTCACTTATTGTGTATTTTGGTGAGAGCATTTATCATATCACTTATTGTGTATTTTCCTTTGCAGACAGGTGATGCTAGTGACAGTAGTCGTAGTGACAATCGTTGAAGTTCCATGAATAGTTGCAGGTCATTTCTTGAGTATGGATGCTAGTGAACCCTTTTCATCAATAAAAGCAAGATTAGCAAATGACAGTTTTTGTAGTGATTTGAAGTTTCTTGTAATCGTAATGGTTGTAGTGAATGATATGTTTCAATTTAGTTTGTAAAACTAATAGTACACTTTATGATATATTTTTTTGTTGAAATATTTTGTTGTTTCTTAATACTAATAAGCCCTTTTAGGTTTGACTATGATGTACATGTTAATTAGTCATTAATATTTAAAATATAACTTTTTAGCATAATGCTCTAGAAGGTTACATATTCATAAATTACAGGGGTTAGAACTCCTATTAATCTTAATGTAAAATTCATGATTTGTAGGGGTTTTGACTCCCAAAGTTTACAAATTGCAGGGGTTTTGACTCCTAGATATTGAAGTGCAGTTTTATAGATATATGTTTGTGGGTTCAAAACCCCCAGTAATAAGCCCCCGCTAACGGTAGCAGGGGTTCGTCCAAAACTCCCCAAACTTAATTGTGACACACCTAATTGCAGGAGTTCTCTCAACTGTCGCAACACTAAATTATGGGGGTTATTGACCGTCAGAACATGTAATTTTAACCCCCACAATTCAGGCGTTTTTTTGTAGTGAATCTTATAATAATGATTAAAATTTAAACAACCAAATATAAATATTGGGACGAAAGAAACATTAGCATTTTTCAAAAAATTTCATTGTACGTGTTATACATATGCATTATTTTATTTAAATTATTTCCCCACTTCAATTTGCTCTTCTTTTAGGTGGACATTCGGTATTTGATTCGAGATTTTCTAATTTCAAGTTCAGTAATTTGATAATAAATAATTAAAAATAGATATCAAATATTAATTTTTTAATTTATTTTTTTCAGTTTGATAATTCAGTATCGGTAAATCAAACTTTGGTTCAATGCGGTATTTAGTAATATTGTATTGAAGTTGTAGCCGATTGTATTACAAAGTTAATACTATTGCTCTAATTATTTCTATTTTTCTATGTAGAGGCATGATATAATAAAAGATCAACAAGTAAGAAAAGACATCAAGAAAAACAAATTGACACAATTAAAAAATATATGCATTTGAGTTGTTTATGTCTAGCCTTTAACTTTTTCTTTGGACTTATACTAATGAGTAATGGATCTATTGATATACGACCTTCATTAAATAAATAATTTGATATTTGGGAAATATTGAATATCAAATGCTACTGATGTCTCATATTAAGCCCAAACTCGAGTACCATAATTTCAAAATTTTAGTACTCTTGAATATCATAACGAATACCGAATATTAAATTACCAAAAAAATTGATTCAATTTGATAATTCAGTTTTCGATGTTTTATGCTCATCCCTACTTGAATTTTGTTCACTTTTAATTTGTTGAAAAAATGTTTTTAAAGTGGATTTTGCAATTATTTCTCCACTTCATTTTTCATCATTAATCCATTTTAATTAAAAGGACAGCATTACTAAATTGTTCAAATTATTTATAGCGCTAGCGTACAAGTCTTAAATTGGCAGTTTGGGACTATCTGCGTATGATTTTTTTTTTGTTTGGTATATTTGTGTATTCACTTCATTAAGTAAGCGTTTGGCCATGCGATATCATATCATGATATGGTATCGTGAGATAGAATCAGCGTTTGGACATGCGATTTTACGCTGATTCCATCTCATGATTTCCTATCATGAGAGGTGATACCATATTCTCTAAAAACCATGATATGAAATTATATGGTGATTCCATATCATGATTTGAGATATTTTAATACAATAATTGATCCATGAGTTTATATTTTGTTAAAACAACCCCACATTTATATTCATTAACCATTTGTTTCATATGTAAATAAAATTTATAATCACATCATTACTTTTTAAAATTTATTATTCTCACTGATATAAAGTTTATTATTCTCACCAACATATAGTAACTTTAACTCACACCTCACGATTGTGAAACTTTTCAACATTCACTTGAAACAATTAATTGGCATGTTAAAATAGTTGCCAAGACAATTAGCAAGATGACACCAACATTTATACAACCAAAAAATATCGACATAATACTCGATTTTGGCCTTGGTTTAAGGTAAAATTTCAATCACATTAATAATTTTATTTTATGGCCTTAATAAGTGAACATTTATATTTTATGTGTAAGTTATATTTAGTTTTTAGTTACATATTTCCTATCAACTTTGTTTAAAGAGATAATATTTATTTTATGACTTTGCATTGTCTTGGAAACACTATTTTTATCACTCCTACAAACATTATTTTTATGAAGTGCATTCTATAATGCTTCCAATTTATTTTATGTTCACTAAACAAATATTGATGTATGCAAGTTCAACGTGAGGAAATTGTCCATATTATGTGGAGGATTATATTAAAGACTAGTACACTACAATTTATGTTCAATTTTTTTTTATTAAATTAAAGTTAGATGAAACAATTACTTAAGTGGAGAACAAATAACTTTGTAATAATTTATTATGCGATTTTATAATTTTTTGTTTATTTGATAAGATTGAATAAACAATTGGGGCTATTTTAATAGTTTTACAACTTATGAGATTTTTATGTTTATGAGAAAATACACAATACAAAAATTTCATATCACATATCCAAACAAATCTTCAATTTCATCTCATGATGTCATATCATGATACCATATCATAATTTCATATCATGATACCATATCACATGACCAAACGGGTCCTAAGTATAGCTATTTTTACAACATGTAGATCATACTTATATCCTCCACTAATTTATTTACAACTTGATAGAGTGCATTAAATTTAGTTTTTATGAAGACACATGCAAGATCCCAAACCATTACACAGGTGTCATTGCCTCCATGAATTAATCACCGCCCTAAAGATGACTGTACCTTTCTTATTCAAGAGCAGACATCTGGCCTACTTTGTTAGGTTACACTCTATGGGGTCGATTAGTTTGAATACAAGTTATGATGAGATTAATTATGCTGGGATTAGTTATGCTGAGATTGTTTTTATTGATTGTTTGATTTGTTGTATTAAAACTAATATGCAGGGGCGGCTCAACGTAATTGGGGGCCTAAAGCAAAATTTCAATTGAGGCCTAACAAATTTCATATATATTTATTTTAAAAATTATTTTAATAACTATTTAGATGCAAATTATTACTTAATTTTTTTTTATAAATGATTTTTTCGAGTACTTCTTTTTATTTAAAATAATTAGTTTTAGGTAAAATTTTATCAATTAACGTTGAAAAACATTATTTTATTAAAGCAATCATTATATGAATTGTTAGCACAATTCTATAAGCAATAAGTTGACAAACTTTAAGCAAAAATGAGTTTTAAAAAATAAATAATGTGAATGTTAGAAAAGAAATATAATATATATATATATATATATATATATATATATATATATAATTTTTATTATAAATAATTAATTTTTTTAATTAAAAAATAACACATAATTTGTTCTTGGTAAAAATTTGAGGCCTTCCAAAATTAGGGGCTAAGGCACATGCCTTAACTTTTATAAGGCAGAGCCGCTCCTGCTAATATGCATGACATACTTTTTAAGAATAAGTTGTTTGTTTACAAAAATACCCTTCATCTTATTTAGGCTTTTTATATGTATTTTTTATGGAGCTTTATTTATTCAATTTTAAAAATAAATTACGTGAATATGTTTAAATTTGTATTTCATATGAATTGAAATAGGCCCGTGGGAAGCCTCTCTTATTCACTATCATAAGTAAAATATTAATTAAAAACAAATCAATCATAATTTGAAGTAAAAACTGTATCAAAATAACCAAAAATATTGGATCAAATCTCCAAAAATGCTCAAAAAAACAGCAATAAAGTGACCAAAATACACCAAACCAGCTGCAAAAACTGCACTAAAACTGGACAAAATTTGCATAAAAATAACCACAAAAATTGAACCAAATCTGAATTCAGACAGCAGCAAAAAATCCACCAAATCAGTAACAAAACCCGCATTAAAACGTCTATTAAGACTTGAAAAAAAAATAACAGCAAAAATTCCAAAAAATTGATCAAAATTGCACTAAAACACCTGCCAAAACTAGAGCAAGCAGCTATAAATTTGTGTTAAGATTATTTCTTATTGAGTGTTTGGTTTGTTGTATTAAAACAATATATATTGCATAAATTTTAAGAACAAGTTGTTTGTTTACAAAATTACCCTTCGTTTTATTTAGTTAATATTTTCTTTTCAAACTTTAATTATTTATTTTTAAAAATAAAACATTTATTTTATTTAGCTTAAATATTTTTGTTTATGCATTCTCATGGTAAGTATCATATGTATTTAAAAATATAACTTTCTTCTTATTTAGCTTAAAAATAGAATTTCCCTTTTAAGTTTTATTAAAGTGAAAGAAGATTTATGGGAAATCAAAATATAAATAAACCTAAGAATTAGTCAAATAAATTCATAAATAAAATTATAGTTATATAGTGTAATTTTTTAATAGAAAAATATAAATAATTATCCTAAAAATAAGAAGTAATGAATATTAGTATACATGATATTAAAAATAATGTAAATATACATAAATGTAAAAAATGATGTATACAAAGGGTTTAAAGGGATATAGTTGTCATTTTCCTATTCTATCCCGGGATAAATTATCTCGGAATTACTATACCACCAAATGGAAGGGATAACTTATCCCGGTACTAATTCCTAATCCTGGGATAAGTTATCCCAAGCTTTTCAACCAAACAAGTAAATAAAGGGTACTTAAAAGTTATCCCGGAATTAACTCTTCCTATCCATCACACCAAACGATCCCAATGTGTTAAATATACAACTAACTATATTTATATTAAAAAAAAATTAATGTAATTCTTTTACTAAGGTATAGATATTACTATATAAGTATCACTTTCTGATTGGCAATTATTGATATACAAAATTACCTATATATAACTATTCTATAAGGAATTATTGATCATAACTTTAAATTATTAGTGCGTAAAAATTTATTAATAAAATTAAAGAGCAGAAACTGTATTGTAGGTAGAAAAAGAGAAGAGGAGAGTAAAAAAATGTTGAGCGGCTATTCTCAAAGTGTCAATTTGTGATAGTGCCAAAAACCATAAATGAAGGCAATGTTGGTCAAAAGAAGGAGAAGACAGAAAGCGAGAGTCAGAGGATG